TTTTTGCATCGAGTTTTCATAGCGTATGCAGCTATCTAGGTATCACACAATATCAAAGAAAAGGACATAACAGATGACTCAATATACAAGAAGGGCACTCATGCCTCGGATTTCATTTGCAAGTACCACTGCTAAATTTGGCTGAACCTAGCTTCCAATGATCCCCTCATCCTAATTTTTGAGTTGAACTGTAGTGGCGAGATTTGGTATACGACTAATGAATGAAAGTTTATTCGCGACGGGCATAAGCCCTATATTCAAAGAGCATGACAAGGAGAAAACTAGCTTTTCCGACGACTATATACGACAATATGTTGCCGATGGAAATCTATCTGAAACAAAAGAGAGTCCAACACGCCGGACTATCGAAAAGCCTGCCTGTTCAAGATACGATATTGTCAGCATGCAGGAAGATGAAGCAACCCCGAGCTGGAAGGCAAGATGCACGAGCTGTCACGAGAATCTTGGATATTGTGGAGTGGGGTCAAACATGTAGGTATATAGAGACGAAGGCACGACAGAAAGCGGCTGGAAAGGTCGCGACCTATAAAGAATGGGAAAGATACTGGACGAAACAAACAGCAAAACAGCCTACTAACCATCAAGCGTAAGTGTCTCGAGAACTTTACAAAATTTGCGCAGGAAACCGGCTGCTTCGGGGGCCCACCTGCGACTCCGTCTCCAGCTCTCAGCGGAGACGGTGGTAATTAGTCATAGCACGATGTATGGCAGGTAGGAAAATGAGACCAGAAGTGTCATTTTCCAACCACAAACAGGAGTATGGGATTTGGAATTTTGGTTATGGGAGTCTGTGTGGGCATTTATTTTCTTTATTATGACTAGCTACTTTTTGTGTAGTGAGTCACGCGGTGAGATCGAGTCGGGTATGTGGGAAGCATGATCTCGGCCGTGTACACCGGTCTTTGACTCCTAGGAGATATAGAGCTTAGCTTAGGACCTAAAAATAAAATCAATCAATCAACCATCAAGCGACAGCAGATCCCAAAATTTGGAGTGTAGCAAACATCTTAACAGATGAAAAGACGGAAAAGACAGGAATGAGCCAAAGAGGGACACCTTTTAGTATCCATAAGCACCTGAACAGGGCCCAAAGTAGTATAGCCATGCAGTTAAGAAGTGAGCACATTGGCTTCAACTCTTATCTGCATAGAAGACATGTTTCCGGAGTAGACAGCCCAGGATGCCAATGTGGATATCCGTCCCAGAACATGAAGCATATGATCATGGCTTGCTCCAACTGGGCCAAAGGAAGAGGAGAAATACTGAGAAAGGCAGAGAATCGGTCATTCGAAGAGATGCTGAATAACCCGAAAGATATGGCTAGAATTACAAAGTGGATACAAAAGAAAGGAAGGCTAGAGTAGTTTCGACTGACGCTTGAGGTCGAGGCCACGATGAGTGAGAGAGAGGGTAGTAGGGGAAAGATGATCTCCTACTAGTAGCAATAAAGTGGAAGGTATCCGCACTGGACATAACAGTGTTAGTGCACTTCGCGAAGGTAACTCGACTTTAAAGTGTATGTAAATTGAAAAGTTGAGGGGGTTTCTACCATAAAGGTTTCCTCCTATGTAAATATTAGAGTTTGTAGACAACCGCATGGGCCCTAAGGCGCCAAATCGGGCTAAATGAAATCAAATTCAAATATATACGACAATAACTCAGTTCGACATTTGGACTACTCATGTAGTGGGTGCATTCGCTGATACCACTCGAGACCTTGGTACTAGGGACTCTCACCCTTCCCTCAGCCGTTAATATCTACCAAAGGGAAAACAGGAAAAACCTTTGGCTACCCTAACATGCCTTTGTCACCTTGTATATAGCCGCCGCGCGAGATGTGGCCTCACAGTCCTCCCTTTCTCAAGTGAAGTAGGTGTCCAGGCTACCCAGACTTGAATTCGGGGAGATGACGACCAGGAGGCGGACCAAAACTCCTTCCATCGTTGCCTGTTTTTAGAGTATCGGTTGCACTATCCGATATCGCTGCCTCTGCGCCCATAGACAGCCTTGAGGCGAATACACTCGAAAAATGTGCGTCCCAGCATGCCCATATGTGAACTCTTCACTCGTTCGTCCCACGTCCTACGTCCCAGCTGCCTTTCCTCCCTCAAAATGTGAAGCTCCATTAGAGCAACGGTCTCCCATAGACCAAGACGCGAGCTTTGTAGATTATCACTAAATTCCCTCCTCGCGGGCATACATAGCATCGTAATTTTGTAGTTGGAGATGGCCGGTTTTTTAATGAGGCAAAAGCCCGACTACAATTGAAGTAACGCCATTATCGGCATTTGAGGCGAGGTGGTATAGTAAGACCGGAGTGGAGGACTCGCGTGAGAATGATAGATCCGACATTGACGAGAAGTCATCGACTTTAGATATGCTTGAGGTTGCTTTCGACTGCGATTCGGATGCGACTCGTCTTGGCTGTCCCAGATATGCAGAGCATACTGAGCAATTACACCGGCATCACTGGAAGGTGAAGAATTCGTCTTTGCCGGCTTAGTGTACGGCGACCTGCTGTAATTATTAATTTTTTCTAGAATTTATAATAATTGGGGCTATTAAGTAGGCCACATTGTTGGTACACACGGCACTGCAAATTCTGTACTTAGTTTCACTTCGATAGTTACTTGAACCAATGCACTCTACAACCTCGATGACTAAGGTGTCATTATTTAATACTTTTTGTGTTTTAGCGTGCCAAACTAGCTAATTTGGCGACTTTGCGCTCTTGCAAGTATTAAGGCGCGAATGGGGCTAAGTGGGGCCAAGTTAGCTGCTGGATCTTATCCCACTTAAATGACAAGGAGCATCTGAGCCAAACATAATGTGTAGAATACGTCACAACTCCAATGCCCTCTCCCCTTAAATTCGAAGCGTTTCACACGCCCTTCTGCTTTTTGGATGCATTCCTATCAGGCCTGGGCAACTATGCGCCCGAGCCTCTAGTTTAATAGTCATCTCTCCGTTGTTCGACATTACTGCCATTCATATAATATATCTGCTACCCCCTGTTTTTCTTCGACATATCTACTGTACCCGCCAAGACCCTTTCGTAAATTCCACTGACTTCGATATATTTCGAGAACAGATCCCAACTATCCTTGCCAATGAGCTTTAGTTGGAATGGGTCTTCATGTATTAGTTTGGTTGAAAGCGAAAAATTTATCGCTTGTGAATTAGAACGATACATTACAGATGGCCTAGTGAATTAAATAATGTAGCCGCCAGTAAACGTAAAGCCATCAGAAAAATATCATGTAGGAGCTTGAACTTCAATGCCATTACAAAATAGCGCGCGTCTGCTTTACACTGAAGCCTAATCAGAGCTTGCTATTTAAGCTAATTTCCAAGAGTATGACGAGGGCGACAGACGCGTTTTTGTATCTTTACGCGTCCCCCGACTACTTTTCAACTGTAATGCAACGGAGTCCTTGCAAAAAATGCGAAAGGATGCTCAAATCTGGAGGATGAACCACTTTTCTGATGGCTACTGATCCTCGTACCACGTGGGTCAGTCGTTACAAATAGTATATGTAGAATACGGCAAATGATCTGCTCGTAGGGTGTGGTAGAGAGCCAGTTAGCTAGCCCTGGACAGACAAAGTTGAGACGCGTTGACCGGAGATTAAAACTCAAATGAGTTTTCGAGAAGATCGCCAGTGAGATACAAAGGGGGACCTACGCGTCATAAAGCCATAGCCCGAACAGGCCGTCAACAAAAAAGCAAAGTATCTTACATCAGACGGAGATTTGAATATATTTGTTGAGGAAGGCTCAATTATAGGGTTAAATCGTATTCTCGACAACGAATCCGAACAGCAAAGAATTTTGGAGGTGTAGGATTGTGTCTTGTATTGCAAAATGTTTTCTAACCTGAAACGCATCTACGTAGACACATTTACTCCATAAAGACGTGAACTAGTGAAACCAAGTGCCTTCAGATATCAGCCAATCTCGATATCAAGAACTCCAGACTCAATGAATCTTTCTTTCAGGCTAACTTTACGGCTAGTGAGTCATGGAATAGATTGTTTTATCTTAGGATCCGTAGAAGTGAAATTTCTATTTACAAAAAGTTATTTGGATTTAAGCTCCTGAGTAATTCGACCGCAATGCTGCGCGATCCAATTGAATCACTCTGTATCGCGTTTCATTTAAAAATTTATACAGCATTTAAGTGTTGTCTGCCCGCTTTCTTCATCTGCACGGATTTCGATATTTCCAGCACATAACATTCCGTTTAGGGACGAAGTTATTCGATTACTTGACCAGAAGAATAAAACCAGTTAGCTGTACTTTAAAACTAGTTATTACCTGATTGTCCCAATAGCTAATGGTCGGTAAGTTTAGCATGACCTCAATCTCTGTAATTAGTGTATGAGGTACACGACTTAAACTATCAGCTTTACAAGCAGTCATAACACCTACTTTATTTTTCTTGCACCACTGGAGTGTTTCTTCATCAGATATTTAAAAGGCTTTTGTTACTCAGAACTTGGAGTTGCGTTATTTGTCGCTTGATAGACACAAATATGTCCTGTATTGTAGAGTGCCAGTAGCGTCTTTGTTGATGATTTTTTGTATACATCTCATATCCCAACTCAATTTATGTTGGCAATGAAAAACTATGATGACATGGTATTTTTCGAAAAATCTTGTATCTCGAAATTACAGGTTTTCTGTGTTGAAACTATTTCAATAAATTTTAACCCCACCTCTAATGCCAAAATAAAGTGACAATTTCAAGTATTTGATTATTGGTTGGGAAAACTTCACCATACCTCCATTTATTGTTACCTGAGGTAGGTGGGCTAGGCTTGACCCCTGCTCTCTGGAAAGGCGCGCCAATATAATTAGAGGAAGTTTCATACAGATTAGAGCCATCATGAAGGCAGATGTTACCGAATTAATATTTGTTTTATCCGTCCATCATTTAGATTCAGTGAAATATGTAATTTGAGGGCTACAATGAATGTTTAGCCTAGAGATCTTGCACTTATGGATCTCCAGGCGTCCGGGCTATGGCGCCCGTTCATCCAATCAGTAACATCTGGACTGGTACATTCCTGATGCTCACATTGTAAGGCTAGTTGAGGACTTCCTTTACACTCTGATAAATTATTAGGAAGGGTGCTAGCAAATGGATTCTTATTATCATTAGATGGTTGTGGTTGTTCATGGGAAAGATTTGCTAAATCCCTTCGAGAGTCTGGATTGGGAAATGCATCATTGGTTTGACAACTAGCTAGCCGACTAGGTGCTAGTTCTGGATGGTTAAATAAATCTAGAATGCTTTGCGTATCGGCTTTGTTAAAGCGCTGAGGCATGCCTGAATTTGTTTGGGCTTGTGGCAGTTGAGAAGTGTAAGCATGTTCTGGGATCTCATGAATTGATATCGGTGCTAGTTGAGTCTGAAAGAAGGGATTATTCTGTACAGTTTGATGTGTAAAATATGGATTTGTAGGCTGATAAGGTTGCATTGTAGAGCTATTCGGAATTTCTGAGTAAGAATTATTCAGAGAGCTTTGATGGTAAGTTTCCGGAGCAGATTGCTGCCTGATAAAGGGATTACTAAAATTATTTGTATTAACCAGTGATTGTTGCGATACATGTGAGAATGGATTGAAAGCGAGAGTCTGTTGCGGTTGTAGGTCTGGGTTATTAGGAGGTAATGATGTAGGGAAATATTGTAAGGGTAGAGATGGAACGGGAGGTGTCATTGACTGCTGATATATGTTTTGTTGTGGCTGTATAGGACTGGGAAATCCTGGTCCGGTGCGATTGGGAAAAAGAGGTTGGGATTGGTTAATAGACATTTTTTGGAGTGTTTGGTCTAGGTTTAATTGCGACTGAGAAGGCCTCGAGCCAGATTGGTTAAAGTTGTGAGGTTGCTGGTAGGGATTTGTTCCGAGTTGCTGGTGTAAGCCCCCAGTGGATTGCGAAGATTGAGGTTGTGCGGTTGGGGTGCTTGGATTCAACATATCAAATGGGTTTCTGGAAATTGGTGAGCAGATATTTGAGTTTGATGAAAGTCGTGCAGGCGACCCCGATGTTGTTAATGTAAACCCTATTTGTTCTTCGTGTCTGATTCCATTATCTCCTAGGCATACTAGAGTCTCGATGGATTTCTCTAAGTCGCCACCTAGTCCCTTCAGAACAGCTAGATTTCTTTTCTGGTCTGTGAATCCCATACCACATAATTTAATATTCTTAGATTCATAATCATTATCACCCTCTAATGACACGCCGAACACTCTAGATGGTTTATTTTTCTGCAATGTTGGAGACCTGGCTCTAGAGACCGCAGCTCCATGCTGTTGCGACACTTCTTTCTTGTGCTTCAAGGATAGAGGGAAAATTGAAGATGCCGACCGAAAGCCAAACCTATTCCCGTGCTTTGGGGGTGGGGGAGGAGGTTGATCATCTAATTCAGCTGTGCTGATGTCGTGCTTTAATTGAACCTTGGCATTATTGGTTTGATACTTTTGTCGAATAAATTTCTCCATAGCCGAATCCGCATCAGCATCGAAAGGGATGGAAGCTTTATTGTTTTGGGGGTTGTAAATGCGATTTGATGCAATATTTCCAATTTTCTTCATGGTCTATCTAAAGTCAGATCTATCTTATTTCATTAATTGGAGCACAGCAGACCTCAACTTGCTCGTAAGACCATGAATCCATGCTCAAAGATTTGACTTTCGTAATGTGTGTTCCAAGCTTACGATGGAGTGCAGCGCAGCGCATGCATAGAAATATTCCAAGCTTCTCGGCGTGAGTGAATTACTTTTAAATCACAGATAATTTTCAAAGAACTTACGCTCCAACTCGCCCATCCTGTAAATCATTTAGTTTTGCTGTGTGCCATGTGGTGAGAACTTTACCTGGATTTTGAGCTTGACAGTCAGCACACTGATTGTTCCCTGGGACATTCTTGATGAGGTCGTGTAAAATACGTTCGTTACGCGCTTGTTGCCGTTTACTCAGTGGACCAGACATGGCGTTAACTATTTTTGTTTATGGCTGGGGAGCGAGAGCGACAGAGTTGGTGGAGTAATGAGCAAACATTTGCTGGATTCAATTATGTGAGCGTACTACACATTGTCTACAAAGGGAGAGTGTTAAGAGAACGATCATGAATCCCGCCGCAGGTATCTCCCGAAAACAAGACAATGTAGATAGGAGAGGATCTGTTCGAGCTGGAGCGAGATTGGCCTCACTGTAACAAGATAAGTTCTACTCTCACGGAATAACATTTCTCCCTCTGATGAAACTCGTGGTTAGCGTGTTCCCGAAATGCTCGGCACGAGCCCAAGAGCTAGCCGTCTGTGTTGATTTACATGGTCTTGCCCACAATAGAGTGACCGTCAATAGAAAACTGAGTGGGTCTAGGCGCGCGAAGTTACGTCCATGGTCAGCTAGCGCCACTTGCAGGCCAGCCAGGGCAATGTTGCTTACAGCCGGGACGTGATGTAAGGCAACTTTCGATATCTATCGATGTAACACTCGCTTTTCCTCCGTCTAAAATTTCTGATCATGGATAGCTTTCTACACTGATGAGAGAACGAAATTTAGTATACGAAATGATGCGCTACTGATAATAAGTGGCGTGGAGTGGCGGTAGCAGTACTGCGAATGTAATTAAAGCCAAATCGGATAATCTGTCACGGCGCGTGACGTGACTAAGTAGAGGCCCGAGAGTACTCAAGGGGCTACATGTCGGGGGTACCAATTACCACAGGACCCTTCAGTCACCAAAATAGCCAGATGATTTCTTAAACCAGCTTGTCAAGTTAGGTCCTTATCGTCCCTGTATGTGGACTTATCAAAACTAAGCGAGGCCTATTAAGCCACGTGACTATTTGTCCTAAGTTGCTACTCTTCATGCAATTTGCTAGTGAGGCCAAGGATTGCGTGCAGATCCATCGCAACTATATGCTCTTTTTGTCACAACTCTCCCTTAACAGCTTAACTCTATGTCGGACGTTTAGATTCTCCCCTACCCCCCAAGAATACTTATGCTCTACGTAGTACTTACCTTCCTCAACTATTTCAACAGCTCCCTTGCCGACAAAGATAAACTCTTTAGCTTGAAGATGTACCGGTCTCATCGCCCAGTATGTTTTGAATATCTCTGATAGCCAAGAAGAGTTGTATCTGAGTCTAAGTTGAAAGCAAACATAAGCATATCTATTACTGATAACATCTAAATAGCGTCGACCATACCTTTCCCATGCAAGTTCCTTAATCTCGATTTTACCACAGACAAGCTCGCCTCAACAACTGATTATATATCTGCATCATTTGCAAACGGAAGCTTGCCTCAGGTCATCGGCCATACCCCACTACAAGATTACGATGCTATGTATTACCGCGAGGAAGAAACCAAGTCATAATTTACAAAGCTCGGGTCTTGGCCTACTAAGTAACCTGGTTATAATGAGGCTTCACATATTGAGAGAGGATAGACAGCTGAGATATAAAACCAGAGTGAGGAGATGACTAATGTTCATACTGAAACTAAAATTATCGAAGGGGCTTTGACGATTTGATGTTTGTGGGCGCCAAGACTAAGGTTTCTTATTGTGCTAGCGTCCCTCAAAAAACAGGACGTACTATGTTTGCTTCGGTGGATGAAAGTGTGAGTAATTGACTTTAGTCATGAAGACAATTTTGGATTCAAGTCACGATGTTGAAGTAAGAATTAAGCTCTTCTTGTATAACATCGGGCAATACAGGTGAGGCGCAGGGCACCGGACCTAGGTAGTTTAATTTTTATATGTTTTTTTATGGTTTTTTGAATTAGTAATCTTGGCAATACTGCGTCTTGAGAGATCGACTACTAGTGTACAGTTATATTAGATGTAGAGCTTGTGCCCGGCACGTTAAAATAACAACTGTGAGCGGATGTATGTTTAAGTATAATCAGCTTTAGTTATGTGGTCATGTAATATGTTAAGACTGGGAGTTATGCAGGCATTGAACATGATCCGTGCGTACATACACATAAGCAGGGTGGTCTTTCTTGTTGAACCTAGGAAAAGAGTCAGAGTGATTTAATTACAATAAGATTTTGAGCCGATAGCGTTTACAACAACTATTCAATACCACCTCTCACAAGTACTGTAAGGATTCTGAAGGGAGAGCAAGACTGAACACATGTACGCGGTGTCCTCTACGAACCTGGGGGTGAAATATTCTCCCAGAGCGAAGTTCGGACTAATTTCGCAATACGGAACAAGATGGCCCATGAGGCGATGATTCAAACTACTCCACCACGTCAAATCTTCACTCTCAACGGGTTTGACTCCCACCCAAGTCTCATCAGGTCTGCAAGTACGACCTAGTACATCCTTATTCCAATGATCACACCTCTCGTCGACTTTCTCTGGCCTTAGCTGGTCGCCAGATACACGCCCACGCCGATATTTACACCCGACGGATAAAGCAAAGCGTGGCGCACAAATCTGGGAGACAACTCATTGGGATTGGCATGAGAGGATTAAGGACGAGTTGAAAAGATGATGCGAAGGATCGATACAGTCTCGACGGGCGTGGAATTTTGAATTTTGGCAAGGGGTTTTTACAAATTTAGCTTTGTGTGTGCCAAGTCTTCGGTTGCGAGAGTGCAGGCAACATTATAAAAACCGCCATGGTTTGATGGTGCGGTGGTACATCGTCTTGGCCGGTCTGCCAAGTAGAGTATGGATAGCTTGGACACATATCCCACTCGAGACAGTAGATCGCTGGTTCAAATCCAGCAAAACACAGCCACATTTCTCGCGGCGCTGGTATGCATCGATGACAAAGGTTTTCAATTTCCCTTTCGTGGGTACTTACGGAGGAGGGTCGACTGTTTGTGTAAGCAAGCATACCTCATAGTGGTATTTGCGTATGAAATCCAGAGTATGAGTGTCTCTAACTTCAAAAGAGGCATCCCACATGTATACATAGCACCGGTCATGTTTCATAGCTAGATAGCTGAATACACATTAAATGGTTAAAAAAAAGGATTCTGAAGAAATGCCTTAGGCAGGATCCACGGGTTCCTTGTCGATCCCACTAGGCTTTTTTTTAAATCATATACTGTGTATGCAGCTATCTAGCTATGACATAATATCAAAGAAGTATTGAATAGATGACTCAATTTACAAGAAGAGCACTCGTGCCTCGGATTTCATTTGCAAAGAACACTGCGAAGTTATGGCGGCTTTTTCTTCACCCCAAGTCAACTCTCATCCGTGAATACCTACCCAGGGGAACGTCTCAAAAACCCTGAGTTATCCAGACATGCCTCCATCATTCATCAACTTTTCTCCGTGCGAAATATGGTCTGAGATATCTCTTTCCCAAGTGGAGTAGGTGCCCAGGCTACTCAGACTATACCGGAGAACACCACCAGGAGGCGGACCACAACACCTTCCATCGTTTGCTTGTTTGTATAGTGTTTGCTGCAGTATCGCAATCGAAGTATTGGCGTGCATAATACTCTTCAATTCATAAATCTTCTAACCAAAATTCAAAATTCCACGCCCGTCGAGACTGTATCGATCCTTCGCATCATCTTTTCAACTCGTCCTTAATCCTCTCATGCTAATCCCAATGAGTTGTCTCCCAGATTTGTGCGCCACGCTTTGCTTTATCCGTCGGGTGTAAATATCGGCGTGGGCGTGTATCTGGCGACCAGCTAAGGCCAGAGAAGGTCGAAGAGAGGAGTGGTCATTGGGATGAGGATGTACTAGGTCGTACTTGTAGACTTGATAAGACTCAGGTAGGCGTCAAACTCGTTGGGAGCGGAAAAACGACGTGGTGGAGTAATTTTAAATTTTGCCTCGTGGGCCAACTTCTTTGATTTTGCGAAATTTGACTGAACTTGGCTCTGGGAGAACATTTCACTCCCAGGTTCGTAGAGGACACCGCGTACAGGTGTTCAGTTTTGCCCTCCCACTTTAGATAGTGTAAACGTTATTGGCTCAATCTCTTTTTATAACTACCATGGTGCCACGATTTCAAGTTTTTAAGTGAATATATATGGGGCGCATATTCGCTACAGGGGTTGCACCCATATTAGCGCCAATTTCGACAGGCTACATAATTCTTGTACTGTATTTTCAGGCCTAAACCGAGGGCGCAATTTGATTTCATGTCACTCTCAGTTTTATGCAATTCCAACCCGCTCTCTAGTTCTTTCCCATTGCTTTGATGAGCGCCGACCGCTAAAAATTTACACAGCTCTTCTCCCCTTGTGTTTGAGTTACAATAAGAATTAGATTTCTCAAATACAAAGTTATTTATTCAGAAGACATATAGCTTTACTCGATAATAACCTCATTTTACAGATGAATCCACCTCAAACCCCACCTTCAACGTCTCGAATAAAACAATTATCCAGAGATCAAAACATTTTAGTAAGTAGAAGAATTAGACATGAACAAATGTAAATTAAAAGAAAAATTAAGATTTATGGGCTTCATGAATCTGGCAAAAACCAGACGCAGATTGCCGCGTAACTAGGCATTTCTCGGGGACAAGTTAGTTATTCACTGCGCCGCGGAACTATCTCCACTAAAAGAGAAAAAGAACATCCTCAAGGCTGAAAGCAGATGATGTTAATTAGATTATATCTTACGTTAAGACTTCACCTGGAAACCGCCGCAAAACATTTCTGGAACTCGCCTCTAGCCCCTTGAGACATCATGGTGTTAGCGAGCGGGTAATACAAAGAGAACTTAATAAAAAAGGATGTCAGCGACATGTGGCTCGTCTAAGGCCTCCAGTATCTCAGAAAACTATGAAGATATGCAGAGAATGGGCCAAAGCTCATCTCAATTGGACATATGAAGACTGGACGTCAGTTTTATGGACAGACGAAACTTGGGTAGAGGATGGAAGACATTCTAGAGAATGGGTGACAAGAAGCGTTCGTACAGTCCTCAATAAGAAGATGGTAATTTGATGCTCTAACATTATGAGCCAGACTTCCCAAGAATACAACGCTGATTGTGTTGGAGAAAAATCGAAGAATAGGGTCGGATGGATGTTCTGGGGTTGCTTCGCAGGGCCAGATAAAGGCCATTGTTTGTTTTGGGAGAAGGAATGGGGTTCCATTAACTCCCAAAAATATTGCGAGAAGATAGTTACTCTTATCGATGGCATGGTCTCGATGAGACCTTGGCTTTCCGTAATGCAGGATAATGCTCCTGCCCACACAGCCGCAATTACAATGGATGATGTGATCCAGAGGCTCATTCAACCGATTTTCTGGCCGACCAACTCGCCTGATCTTAATCCGATTGAAGCTGTTTGGAATAGGATGAAGGATCACATCCAGCGTCATCATCCGAATCTGGGTTGCGGAAAGCAGCAAACTCAAGATAGTCTTCGCGACAGTGTAAAGGAGGCATGGGATTCCGTGTCTTCCGAAGATCTTGTGAGACTCATTCAGGGTATGCCAGCAAGATGTCAGGCTGTGGTAGATGCGGATGGGGGACTGACCTGATATTAAGGCCTGAAAATATTCCAGCCACATGTTCAGATCCAAGGTTAGGATAAGACTGGCTCTATTTTGTAATTTGAAAACCTTTGAACTCTTGTAAATAAGTTATAAAGTCAAGTAGTAAAAATGCACAAATGTTATGCAGCCGATCATTATGCAAATTAGGTTTAGTACGAAGGAAAGACCCATTGCAAACTATGGTGTCCAGATAAAAACTGCCATACAAAATTTTTCAAAAATTTGCACAAATACGGGGGCTAACTCCAATATGGAAGGTGACTATGCCTAAGGAGTGTTAGATTGCACGCTAAAACCCCTGCCAAAGCTCCACTGCAAACTTGACACCATGGCAACATGATATATCACTAAGGTTCTATGGGGGACTATTCTCAACACCTGTCAGTGGTGTCCCCTACGAACCTCCAGCTCTTACTGTAGAGTCTGCAGAGCCGAAATTGAGTAACAAAGTCCTCACTTCGACGAGGATTCCCAATCGCTTTCGCGGTCTGTATCGTCTTCATCTCTCAACTCATTCACATATCACCATTGTCATGAAGCTAACCACGATCAGATCCGATGGTATGGTCGGAGCCCTTCTCATCACCAACCCTTGATCATGGAGGAGATGCCATCCGATGAGTTTCCGGAGCGTACCCAGCACCCGATACGGAGATGGTGGATTGGATCAATTCGACCTCGAATGTTACAAAGAAGGGAGATGTAGATGAATATGCGCACCTCACGTGGTCCTGGTGTCTAGGCCCCGCCTGGCTAGGGCTGAAGGGTTTTTGAGACTTTTTCCAGCGCACGCAGTTTCCATTCCTACCGTTTTTTTTGGTTGGAAGGTTCCGTGGACAAAGCCGCTGAATTCCAAGGGTAAATACTGAGCTGAATGGCTATTCATCATGGGCAATATATCAATGATCTTTGAAGTAACAAAAGAGGATAGGAGCGCTGTACAAGGTGTGGCCTGGGTCAGAGAGGAGCCCAATGGGCTAGACAGTCATAGACTCAAGTAGTACAATAAACAAAAACACACACACTAAGGTTCTCTACCTAGTACAACCAGAAAGACCGCTCTTCTTGTGTGTATGTACGCACGGATCATCTTCAATGCCTGCATAACTAGAGCTGATTATACCTAAATATACATTCGCTCACAGATAGAGCTTGTGAAGATTGACTTTTCCGACTCATACGAGCTCGTTTGTCTGAGCGATAGGCCTTCTTTCTACAGTTATGCATCTAATACAATAAAACTATCTCAATACATGGCATATATTGACTACATTTTATGACCCGACGAGCAAATTCTATCATAATGGATGAAGCTAAGTTCTAGAATAATGCATCTAATATAATTACCTCGAAATTTATAACTTCAAAAATGGATGCTATAGCTTTTGATTGTTAATCTAGGTGTTTCGAAATAAAATTTACCAATTGAAAAAATCAAGATTGCACAGTGCAATAGATTGAACAAGTTATTTCAACGCCATGTGAAAATACCAGAGAAGCTTACAGCACGGTTGGAATTTTTTTAGGGAGATCTTATTTTGAATGGATTTATGAGGAAGGATCAATGCCAATAATCTACCCTCTACTGGCTCGAATAGATTTAGTTCTAATTATAGAAGGCTCCGGAAAAGTTTGCGAACTCGTCTTCTTTCAGCTTTCATCACCTAATTCTATCAAAGAAAAGCAGATGTTAGAGACCTTGATGTCAACTAATGGGAAAAAATTTGCCGCGAATCCCCGATCCATGGCCGCCAACGTATTTTGATATACAAATGACGCTGTAGTGATGGGTACACTAAGAAGCCTTGTCAGGGTTAATTTCCTGATTGCCTCCCTCGTGATGAATCGTCATCTACAATCTATCAATTCTCTTTCTTCGTTAGATGGTTACGAGAGTGAATCTTTGTTTTTCTTTTAGAGCCATGCACAGACCACTATATTAGAATTGGAAGAGTATCAACCAGATATATTCCTCCTGGGGCAACAGTCGTCTATACTCAAATAATTTCTTTACTTCAGCTCTCATATTATATTAGCTATTGGCAATCACGACTCCGTTTGCGGGCCCTTTTGGCGCGGCAATCATTGTGTTAGTAATAATATAGTAGGTTAAACTTGTACTTTATTCAGAGAAAAATGCTGAGACACTGCTTTCTTGTAGGTTCATTACCAAAACACTTTTGGGGGTCTCTATCTGATATATTTGGCGTGAAATTATCTATAAAGCTCAAGAGGTGTATGGATTGTAAGTAGCCCAGATGAATAGCCGAGAGGTCGCGAGTGATTCGATGTTCAAATTGCGTTTTTACATAATCATGAAAACTACAAGCAACGTACATTTTGCTTTTAAATCATTGTAACATCACCTACTAATTTTTATCCTTTCGCTCATTCCTAATCCAAAACAATCCTGTCTACGGGAGTGGGCGGCACGTTTTGAGTAAAATCAACTCAGTTACCTAACAAGTGTGGCGTCTACCTCAACTTCAATATCTATTGAGAAAGAATAGACGCCAAATGGAAAGATCTAATTTTTAATGCATTTTCTTTCGTTTAGAATTTTCTTTTTTCCTTGTTTAAATATTTTTTTCTTCCATGGTTTGAAGACTCTAGAATTTTGCTGAATAGTGTTAATAAGATTTCAGCAAGGCCCAGCCCATTAAGCTGCTTATGAATCTAACAATGTTAGGTATCGTTATTCTGGATAATCTCAAAAACTATGTCTTCAAGAAGCACTAACAATATTGAAAAATACACGGAATTACACAAGCCAAAATTTCCTCACAATTTTAATTCTTACGAGTCAGAGAAAATATTATTTGGGAACGGGAACCAAAACGTGCCTCCACGGTCTGCTCATTCGGAAACACTATCTCTAAAGTCAAATACCCAATTTTCTGATGCTAGAGTTTGCAAAGGTGATAATAATTATATTTACCATGGGGTTCAGGATCCAAATGGGTCCAACTCGACCAACGTTACACTGAGCAGTTTTCGGCCAGGGAGCGTAAAGCCAAACGAAACTCAGCTAAATCTTGCTTTTGCATATGGTATCCGTAGACCTGATGGACGCGTTACTCGTCTCATTCGCGCTGATCACCTCAACTCTTCTGCGATGAATCCGCACATTCCTCAATGGCAGACAGAAGAAGGACTAATCATTCTTCCTGAGCCCCGGCAGCCGTCACCGGACCGTCGTCATGGCTATGATCCCATAGTTTCCCAGGAGGTAAACTTTAACCAAACTCGCATTAATTGTCATGCCTAATTTAACAATCTGTAGGAAATAAATGAGATAAACTGCCTGGCTACTTCAGACCCAGGAGAAGACATGAGAAACCTTGATAAGACTCAAGTAAGAATTTTTTGAATCGTTGGCGATTTCCTTCACGCACGTTGTGTATCCTTCTTGCTTAGATAGTCTCTAGTCAAAAGCTAGGACCTAACCATGTCTACAGTCACAGATTGATGCAATCATCAGTACAAACAAACACGGTGGTAGAAGTAGCAGTGTCTCAACATCGCTCTCAGGTCGTCGCCAAAAAATTTATTGCGACAAATGGGTCCATGAAGGTGTTTGTGCTTTCACACAAGTGGGCTGCAAATTTAAACATGAGATGCCCAATGATAAGGCGACGCAAATCTCGCTTGGACTCAACCATGGCTATCCCAACTGGTATCGTCGTGCATGCGCCAATGCATATCTTTCACCGTCTCTCAGTGCACCCCTGCCCAGCCCCATACGTCCGATTGACGGAAACTGGCGTAGGAGTCGAGAGGCCGGCTACGCAACGCCTGCACAAACTGCTGAGTATTCTACGCGTAAGCTTTCTTGGTCATAAAATGCACCACGTTTCAACTGCCGTTCCCACACTAATCAGTTTTCTCGCTAGCAAATGCACGGCCGATCTTCGGCCCCATCGCTCCACCACCCCAATACCCAATTTGCCCTGGCAACTCATATCATCAGTGTAATCGGGAAGGCCTCGGTCACATTGTCCAGGGCAAGGACTGCACTACCCTAATGGCATGCAGACAATCCAGACATTGGAATTAAGAATACCTGTGCGCTTCTATTTCTCACAAAATGAGATCTCTGCTCCCGCACTGGTGTAAGTGATCTGAATTTTGTCTCTGTCTCGCCTCTTAAACTATGACCTGATTCTGCCTGCGCCGTGTAAACTAAATTTTCAAGGTTCCAAATCCTTCATATCATGTTCCACCCGAATTTAAATTCACTTGCGTGATCGGGAAGTTATCTCGCTTTGTTTGGTAAGCCAAGATGTACTGCTAATTCCGAGGATGAGGGATATAAGGTACCGCTGAACTTAGGAGAGCCAGTAATCAGCATACATGAAAGTATAGGTCAATCAGATACATAGGACGTAATACAGCAAACACCATTATAGATTAGTTATCCAAATAAACACCCAGTATAGAAATTAAGTGACATTTACAAGGAGATTTAGACGAAGGAAGAAGACTATCGTTAGGAAAGCGTATTACATCTCTAATTCAAGCCTAAACTTTTTTCTGGTTATACTCCTTTCGCAACGCCATTGAATTAGACTTGAGGATGGGTGTCATTGTCATTCACACTCCGAAACTGACATAACATCCATAATTCCAGTCCAAACACCTCTTGATCTTTGTTCCCAGTACCCATCTTTGCCGCTTTTTAGTTTCCAGACCTCTTCGCCGCCATCACCACCCTCTATTCGCACAAACCAGCGGGGTATCCATACCTCGCCACGCTCTTCCAGTTCTCTTCTTCGGTTCCGTTGTCGCTCCTCTAAGATGACCTTTAATCGTTCTGCTTCCTCAAGATTCCCATCTTCGGCAGCTCGTTGATCAGGTCGCAACCGAGAATCTGTTACAGGCAACCTATCTTTCTCAATAGAGGTTATCTCATTCAAAGTGGCGGCAAAAGATGTGAGTCCGTATTTTTGCGATGGATTATCAATTAATTCTCCCACGCACCAAATTTCTTGACTTGATTGTTTGCCTGCCTCGATAACACGAAGGCTATTTGTCCAATTGCCTGTAAGGATAGAGGGTTCATTGCGATCAGTATTTTGAGCCTTTGCCTCCACGTCTTCACTGCGGCCACCAAATATTCCCTTCTGTTTGAATTCGATTACTGCGTGCGCACCGGTACTTTCATTCGTGACAGTTACAGATCCAACTGGTTCTATGTACTTCTCACCCATGACGACATTGCGCAAAAAAGCGTTTGCCACGGTCCAGCTGTAAAGTTCCTCGCTACCGTCCTTCAAACGTAAGACAAGTCGAACTCGGCCATCAGTAATAAGTTCCGCGCTCTTGCCCCAAAATTTGTTGGTAGGAGCAGGTGAGTGGCTGATTGACCAGTTTAGAGAGTCTGCCTGACAAGCAATACGAACAGGCCTGTGTGAAACTTTTTCTGCTATAAGTCTGAACCCGCCTGGAACTTCATTTTCCGTTCGTAATAACTCGTAGGTCTCGCCGAGCATTGGATTAAATGGCTTTCGAAGCGCCCTTTCCTTGCAGCGATTTATACTGAAGTGTGAAATAGCGAAGGCAGCTACGTAAAGAAGTCGCGTACTTGAAAACCTTTGAGATATTGCTTTATCAAGAAGCTCAGCATATTCAAACTGTTCTGCTATACGCTGAAGAAAAGATGTAGGTTCATTGGCACTCACAGGCATGCTAATCATACTTAGATCTTTTCCCACATTTTTCCGAAGAAAGCTTATTAGGCTAGGTGGCGGAACAGTTGCTGGGGGAATAGATTTCCTCCTGTTGATAGAAATTTTTATTGGAAGGGGATCAAAAGTTTTGAGCTTAGAAGGGAATAATGCTGCTGCTCCGTTGAGGTATGATAGATCTTCTTCATCCTTGCTGTTAGATAGAGATGATGCATCTGTGACAAATTCTTCTTCTGATAGTTGTAATTGTTCATCACTTCTGCATTCAATTAAGATTACTTGAGACAGGTCAGATCTCCTAGACTCTGCATCAAAAAATTCTGCGGTTGATGCAGAGTCGATACTAGACCTCTGGGCCGATCTTGAGGCAGTTCTACGGTGCTTACTTCTTGTAAGAAGTGTAGAAAAGTCGTCAAGAACTGTATCTAGATCGTTCAGAAATTCCGAAAAGTGGTCATGCATGATAATTTCTGGACGTCGAGGATACTTTGTATTCAACTTAGGAGATGGCATTAAGTATTCATTTGCCGTATTGTTGCTTACGCTCGGATTAGGTATGACTAGCTGTGTTGAAGTACTACGATTCTTTAGCTGAGATGTAGATGTGGCACTATACTTGCGTTTCCAGAATGCTTTTCTCTCATGAACCTGATTAGAACTAAAGTAGTCGGTTGCATCTTCGGGTGCTGAGCTACTACAAGTTGAGAGTCCCGAACCTACAACTACAGTTTGCTTTGGATCTGTTGGAGCCATTGGAGCCGTGTCATTGAATAGCCTGCGAACGGCATCCCGAGTTCCAACTATTCGGCTTACAAGGGCTTCGACTTGCTCCCACTCATGTTCCTCTTCTTCAAAGGATGAAGAGTGTCTCCTTGTCTGAGCTCTAAGTCTTTGGGAGGGCGTAGAATCTAGCTTCATGGCTTTGGCGATTCTGCTGGCTCTTTCTAAAGCTTTTGCCCATTCTTCAAAATCCTTAGGACTGTCGGCTTTCAAATGCCATATCTCAGCGCCTGAGTCAATGCTAAATTCTCTTCTAAGTTTATCCGCAGTAATTGCAGCTAAGCTCAGAGGTATTGCACCTCTTAATGCGTACGAGTTACGATTGTAGTAATAAGACAATGTACACGTAGCGAAATCAAGAGAAAAATATCTAGCTGCATACCCTTGGCCTCTCTTTCGACGACGTTTGGACATAATCCCCACATGGTTAGCGGTACTTTTTGCAGTATTGCTCCTGTTGAGTTGCGAGTTGATTTTAGTGGTATCTCCAGTTATTTCAGGGCAATTTTGAAGGCTATCAACCGAATTTGAAGCCGAGGCCATAGTTGAAAGCTGCTTGCCTTTCCTGGCCTTCCCAGCCGAAGATAAGGAGGCCGTATCGTTTAATAAGTGACCATGGTTAGATTGAGGAGGTGCATTCGAAGGATACGTGAATAGGACTAAAGTTGCTGTCTTGGAAAATTGCTTAGAGAAAGTATTATCAAATAATAAGCCGTACATTCCTCCATTGCCAGGGAGAACGTCGTATGTACCAATTGATACTTTGTCTGCCTCGCATTTCCCATGCCATTGCATTAATTTAAATCCCTTTGTTTCCAGTTGTTTTTGTGCCGTTGAAGTATCATTTCGACCATTAGGAGGACGACGTTGCTTCTCTCCATCATTTTCTGGTTGAGAAGAGAGTGTGAGACTACTCTCAGGAGCTGGCCTAGTGGAAAGCCCGGGATACACAGATTTTCCAGGATGTTTGAATATACCAAAATTGCTGTGGGTTTGTTAGCCAGAGAGATTCAAAGTTAAGTTCATGCAGCTCACATTGATTTTTTATGTGGTTGGAAGCTCCAAGATATGGTGTGACCCTGCTCAACTCGAATCCATCTGACAATATACGACTATCATGTACTATGATCAATGCCATGCACAGCGGAAGTTCTGTTCGCAAGCAACATACCTTACTGTGAATCTCCAGCTGCTCTAACCCAACCATCATGTAACGTGTAGTAAGCAGAACGACAAAAGTCTCAGGTGAATGGGTAACAAAGATGAAATGGTTAGTTAGCAGCTCTGGGCATAAGAATTTCGATGTTTACACAAAAGTATGATTTATCATCGCTGTAGTCTAGGCTTCTGCGCATGAAGTTTGGATACAGGGCTCGATCTTTCAGCTGATAAAATAGTAAATTTATCTTGAAGGTTGATGAGTTCTTTCATCTGCTGCTGGTATTCGCCGTTCAGAAAATGGTCAGCCTTAACTGTCGTTCTGATGGGAAATCTGGGGATGAACGTCTGTCACGGGTACCAGCTAGATGGAGCTTACGCCCTTGAAACATGGGGCGGAGCCAGTGCCGATATCCTGGCACCAATGGCCACTCGCAGCTAAGAATCGTAGTGTAATGAGCCTGAGTTCAGTGTCACTGTGGAGATATCGAGTCTTTGGGGAGATCCTGGAATCAGACGTTGGTCAGATACAAGTTATCGGTTTCGTCGCACTGAGGACTGGAACTATCTTAATTTTCCTTCATCAGTAAGCTTGATATTTATCCTTCTATCCCAGCAACTGCTTCCACATTTTGCCACCCTGCCCAGCTATGGGTTTAAGAGTGCTAAATTATGTTCGTCGCGTCAAGATATCTACGTCTGTTATCATGCCAAATTGACTGACACTAGTGTTTCTCAACCAATTTCTACGTTACAAATAAAGATCTCCCATGACTTAGGAGAAAAAATGTGCTACACCTGATATTTGATTATAATATTCTGATGCTAGAATTTGCTTACTTATAGACTTGACCTCGTACAATAATTTATCGATGAATCACGAACGGAGCTTTACTGCAAGCTATTCACGGGTGTCAACAAGGCCGGCCCGGATATTTACATCGGATTTAGGGGCCAAAAGAGAGGGTTTTTGGTTTCGGAGGGGTATGATAGACTAGCAGCCACGGCAGTCTTGGGATGCACGAATGAAAGTTTCCGGGTTTGGCATTAGCTTGGAGCTGCATTTAGCGAAATGCATTGAGACATCGGAGCATGGCTTTTCGGATTTGAGGTCATTGGTATAAGCTTGAATGATGAGGATGTTGAGATAGTTGTATCATGCTTGTAGCTTTGCATCTGCGAGCTGGATTGAGTATCTCTTCAATTGAAATAGCATCTTGCTGTCGCAATTCACGCCAAGGCTGATGACAGAAGCAAATAAATTGCATTAGGACTAGGGGCATTTAAACTGTTAACTTGGTATCCGTTAATTCGTCCTTGTTCAACCGACGCAGCTACTGATGGACTCTAAGCGGTCGAATAGAAGAGGCCTCTCATTTATTAACCCTGGTCTAGAAGTCACGGGTGAGACAAGTAAGCATCTTCAGATCAAAGTTATTCTTGGGCTTCACCTATCTTGTTGCAGTTATTTGTCCGGAAAAGGCGTTGTTATTTGAACTGTTATTATGAAAGTGATTAAAATCAGACCTGGGTTTCTCGAGCAGTACCACGAGTCAACTTGCGCGAGAAAACCCCTGTTTGCGCCAACTCTGGGCTGCTGAGCTCGTCGTGATTCAACACATAGATGCGTTTCGGTATGGTTCCGGTCTTTCAGATGGGACGAAGCATACTTGTACATCTCGGTGGTCAACCTGATCCGGCCTGGTTCCACTCGTGCTTAGACTCTAATAGAATTGTGGAAGGTACCAGTTACCAAAAATGTTAATAATCAAAGAATTCACTTTCTGATGAGTGTAGAAATTTAGCTATATTTCTGTCGCACACTCCCGCCAACATCTCACAACGAGTATTCATCATCCCATACAAGTTAATACATATCGTTCTCCGAAAAAAAACATCATCATTTGGTCAAAAGCGGCACAACGTTCCACAAACGTTATTTCATCGTTTCGTTAATTGCTACTATCTTAATGGACCTATATTATCCAATTCTCCGATTTTCTCACGCTGCGCTTCGGCACGGCGGATTGGGGAACCAAAAATGTGGTTTTCACGACTTGAAAAATTTTCACGGCACCACCATAACCACCAACGGACAGCAGAACAGCCGCAATTATGGCTGTAGATTCTCTCGCGACATCTATAGGCATTAACATGGATAACCTGAAATCTACAGGGTTGTATTTAAACAAGGTTCGCGATAGACTGGTTATAGCAGGTATTAACCAAACTGCGGCACCGATGGTGGAGGTGGAAAGGGCAATTGACGCCCTCAAATCGCACGCATTGTCACTACAATCGACAATGAAAGCGACACCAATGGAAGAAAGGATGCTGGCCTTAGAGAAGGCAGTAACGAAGAGTCTCGAGGAGCCAGTGCGCAAGATGGCATCTCTATCGACACAGGCAATGGGAGGACGACCAACCTTCGCCTCGGTCGTTGCACCTCCCGCAACTAAAGCGGCTGTTCGAATAAGAGTACAAGGGGCAAATAAAAATACAGCCGGTAGAGCTGCTAAATAAGGCAAAATTACATAATGAGGGAGCATACGCCGTAAGGTAATTGCGGAGTAATGATACTGAGGTGTTCGTGCAGTCAGTCTCACAGCAAGACGCTGCCTGAATATGGCTCAGCTAAAGGAGTTCTATATTTTGAAGCAGGATTATTCTGTTGAAATTTTGAGAGTCCCTCTGGGAACAATGATACGAGGAGGAAAGAATGCCGACAATGGCGGAATGATACAACAAATAACTACGGAGACAGATGTTCGGATCCCTGGAATCCAAAAAACAGGTTAAGATGGCTTTACGACGGGAAGGAGCACCAATGGATGAACAAGAACGGCCATACTCGAGGGTCGGTGATCGCGAGCATGCCGACAGAGGCTCTTCAATGCGAGGTGATTCGAAACGGCATTGTACTAAATTCAATGCTGTACACGGCCCAGCTCTAGTCGCCCCGGGCACAGGTCAATCAGTACTTTTACTGCAGCCAATGGGGGCATACTCAAGCCTCATGCAACAAGGCGAAAAGATGTGGTGAGTGCGCGGGCACTCACCAGGCCAGAGACTACCGGAGGAAGTCGGTGCTTTGCTGCAACTGCGGCAAAGCCCATAAATCGTGGCAGAAGGGGGCGTGTTCAAATTTCGCGTCATACAAGGCAAGTGTCTAGAGAGCACAGTATGGACTTTTGGAAAGAACGGCGGATCTGAGGAGAGAGGAATTAACACCAGCGGCCACTACAACATCAACAGCGGCAAAATCAGTAGACAACCAAGGGCTTACACTGATATACAACCAGAAGGCAGAGGTCGGAAAGAGAGGGCCACAGCCCCATCTACACATCAATTTGCGCCATCGGGGTCGAGCTTCAGACCACAGTCATCTCTTTTCGGCATGCGAGGGCAGGGAAAGGATGGCGAGGTCACCTACAACTTTAGCTAGTCCTGTCTCGGACTAACGGCCAATTGCGCTTCCTGTAGGTTAATTAAGAACCACAGTAATAATTTGAAGGAGTAGGTGGTTTTTATCGGAAGGTTTCCCCATCATGTAAAATATCTATAAGTAGAGTTTATAGCCACCTGCATGGGCCCATTGGGCGCCAAATCAGATTAATAAAATCAAATTCAAAAAATACATCGCTCTCCTTTCATTCCATCTGGATTGAAATATTCATTTTCGCTCCCCCATCTGGTTATCGTACCTATGATGGCCAAATCCCAAAATCCACCCCCTCTGAACCAATAGGTCGCTGAAGAGCTTGAGCTTGTACAGCGTGTAGCTAAGGGCCGAGCTACATGGATCCAGAACTTCTACATCAAGTTTTGGGCATCCGTTGAAGAGGCGGATCCCCTTAACAAAACCTTTATGTGCGAACAAATGGAAGCGTTTCTTCTTGTGGTCGCGTCTGGGCACCTGATGCGGCAAGACAATCTCAAAAAGCCCAAATCACCGGCCTCTTTACCCAAGCCAAGTCAAACCATTCCCTCACGACTTTCCGATACTGTGTCGAACCATTATAGAAACTGGGCAGCAGCTGCCGCAGCTCCACCCGCAATCTTTATTCCGGCACCGGCTCAAGTTAGGCCCAAAGCTACAAATTACTCCTGTTGCACATCTACCCCAAAGCAAACTTCAAGCTCCAAGTGCCCTTGGGCTATCTTTCGCCTCACAGAGATTGCTCCTCTCCTAAGAGCAGACGTAACTTCAGTCAAATCAGCTCTTATTCACATTGTTCCAGGTCTCAAGGATGATTTAGCGTCCATTTCTTGCAGCTCAAGTGGCTTTAACATCGCCTTTTCATCTAATGCAACTCTTCAACTTACGTTAGATAATGCAGACTTCATAAAGACATCTCTCTCAGGATCTCTTCTGAAAATAGAGGACCGTTTCGGGTACGTGATTAAACGCATCCCACGCACTATATGGAACCCATTATCTAACCCGATCCCCACCACGCTCGACGATATCAAGAGCATCACTCAGGCACAAATAGGTGTTGCTCCATTTATTGCGCATTGATCATTACATGAAAATCGCCACGATCCATTACACACAGCGGTTATATTCTTCCCAAAGGAGGTGTCGACTTTTAGAACCATTGGCAGTAGTACGTCTCGACGCTACATTTCTAACCCGAAGGTAGTGTTATCCGATGCTTGCTTTGAGTTTCATCAATCCTTCCACTGCCGTAGTCAAGCTTTGTGCGCCAAGTGCGGTATACTCTGCAACCACGGAGAATTTTGCCACCTTCACCGGTGCATTAACTGCCTTGGACCATACTCTGTAGACTATCATGATTGCCCGCTCCGCCCTTGCCCTTTCAAGGGCAAAATTATCAATACTTCAGAAAAAGCGATCACAGAACTGCGCTCACGCAACCGTAATAATCTTCGAAAGACACGCCGTGCAGAGGCTGCTGTCGCTGCAGCTACCACCACTTTTACTCCTCCAGTTAGGTCTAGTGCGCTAGAAGATAACGCTCAAGTTTTTAATGTTCCTTCTAGGCACATTCTTTCTGCCAGCCATAATAGGTTTGCCTCTCTCGC